ATGAGATTGGATCATAGAGCTTTACTTACTAACATGAATAGTCTACAAAACATTATTGAGGAGACGACCTGGGGCCCTCTGAATCCTAATAGACCCAGAGCGCAGGCCTGGCGAGTGAGTGAGACTGTCCGGGGCCACTGGATCCTGAACAGACCCAGAGCTCAGGCCCAGCAAGTGAATGAGATGAACCGAGACCACAGGATCCTGAATAGACCCAGAGCGCAGGCCCAGCCAGTGAGTGAGAAGCCCGGGGCTGCCGGATCCTGAATAGACCAGGAGTGCAGGGCTAGTGAGTGAGTGAGACGACCCGGGGCCTGCATCCTCATTTGAACCAGAGTGCAGGCCCAGCATGGAACCCTTCAGCAGAACTCCCTGCAAAGAAGCTAGAGGCAAGACCCACCCAGCTGATTCAGGAGCAGAACATCTTGCCAGAGTGACACAAAGGGTTCAGCTTTAACGCCTGCAGCAGAAAGAAGTGGAGCACAGCAGCCAGATCCAAACAATACCCACTTGGAGGAATCTGAACTTCATAGATCTGGACCTGGTGCTAAGGTAATAACTGTATCTAAGCTCTACACAAAAGGTCAGAAGACAGTGGTATACAAAATGACAAAGAGAAGGAACAAAATGCAGTCTCAGGCCCTGAGTACACCCAGTACAAATGCAGAAGACACTAGCACTGAGGAAACTGGAAATCACATGCCAGATATCTCTGAAATAATAGCATTGACAGTAAAGAATCAACTTCAGAAAGGTATAGAAGAAATCAGATCAGAAATAATTTCGGAACTAAAAAATATAGTGGTAACTCTAATCAAAGAAGTACCAAGTGCTTCTAAAGAATATACTGATAAAAAATAGAGGAGAATATAAAAGTGATGGAACCCCTGAATAAACAATTTAGGAAAGAAATAGAATCTATGAAACAGGTTCAAAGTGATATACAGGAAATTAAAACCTCAATCACAAGCTAGCAAAACCGTTTGTGTGAAAATGAAAATAGACTTTCTGACCTGAAAGACACCATTGCAGCTAGTGAAAAAGTAAGAAAAGATCTCTTTAAAACAGCGAGGATGCAGGAAAAAATAATACAATACCTGCAAGACGATGCAAAGATGAACAATGTGAGACTAATAGGCATCGATGAGAAGGAAGGAGTCAATACAAATGATATAAAAAGAATATGGGCAGAAGTAATAGCAGAAAACTTCCCAAATATGGGGCAACAATCTGACATTCCTGTAACTGAAGCATATAGAACTCCAAATAATATCAACCCAATGAAAACCACACCCAGACACATAATAATCAAGATTCCAGAAATTCAGCATAGGAACAGTATACTAAAAGCCGCTAAAGAAAAGAAACAGATCACATTTAAAGGAAAACTCAGAATAATGGCTGATTTTTCTTCACAAACCATCAAGTCAAGAAGAGCATGGAGCAAAGTACTTCAAGTCTTGCAAAAAAACAAATTCCAACCCAGACTGATCTATCCTGCAAAACTCTCTTTCAAATATAATGGAGAAGTGAAATACTTCCATGACAAAGAACAACTAAAGAATTTCATGATGACAAAGCCAAGCCTACACAGACTACTAAAGGATGTTCTAGAGAGGGAGCAAATTGATCACAGCCCCATGAATGAGAATGGAAAGAACCCGCCAAATAGGGGAAACAATTAAACAGAGGAGAATAAGAGTCAGGAATTGATGCTGCTTTGGATGACCTAATAGACACATTAGGAGAACCTGAAGAAACTAACGAAGATAACACAGTATATGCTGGACCAGAAATTTCAGTATTGTGATCTGATATCTGTTAAAATTCATTCTCAGTAGCAGAGCAAATAAGGCCCCGGTCATATAATCCTAGAAAACACCTGGTATTCTGTGGCTTGGATAGAAAGTCATTGTCAATAATAACAATTTAAGATTTGTTTTGGGCATAGAAATAGTTCATCTAATGGTAGCTATGCAATTGTATTGATTCAAAAAACATTAAATTTTCTGTGTTTAAAAAAATAAAAATAAACTTTAAAGAAAAAAATTATTGAATTTAAAAACAAACTGGGACTAGTGGTCTACATGTGTAATGCTACCACTCTGGGAGGATGAAGCAAGAGGATCCCAAGTTCAAGCCAAGCCTGGGGAAGTTAGCAGCTTATTCCTGTCTCACAATAAAAAAGGGCTAGGAATATAGCTCAATGTGCAGGCTCTGGAATTAATCACTGATACCAAAAGAAAAGCAAAAAGAAGGGCCAGCCAAATAGCTCAGCACAGGGCACAAGTGTATCTAGTCTAGAGTTTTCTTTTTTTAAATTTTTTTTTTCCTTTTAGATTTTTCACACAGGGTCTTGCTAAGTAGTTAAGCCTGGCCTTGAACTATGTATCCCAGGCTGGCCTTGAACTCTCTGCCATTCTTGTGTCAGCTTTCCAATGCTGTAATTACAGGCATGAATCACTATACCCAGCTCAAATCCAGTTTTTGAGAGAGCAAAGTGATTTTGTTTCAAATTTAGACTAGTGTACATAGAGATCTCAGTTCCTGTGTCTGTGTGCATGCATGCATGCATGCAGATAAAGAGCTTGGAAGGCCCTATACATCCTCAATTTTAATAATCACAGTCTCCAAAAGACAACACAATAATGTTTGATAATTTTATTGTATATACTAACTTTCTATAAGAAAGATAATATTCAGAATTTTTTGTAGAAAATACTCAACACTGGAGCTGGATATTCTCATATACTGATGATAGAAATGTAATTTGAGATATGGGCTTTAGAAGGGATTTAGTGTCATGCATTAGTAGTTTGAAAATGATTATACTCTTTAGCCTAGTAATAACATGTCTAAGAATTAGCCCTAGGAAATAATCCAAAAGACCTATATAAAAATGTGCATATGCTTATGAGAGCATTTTCTGTAATGGAGAAGTTTGAAATGGCTTTAGTATCTTACATTGCATTTGTTGATATATCATGGAAGTCCTAAAATTATGTTTAAGAGGATTTTGTTTTGTTTTACAGCTCTGAAGATTGAACCCAGGGGCTCTCTACCATTAATCTACATCTGTAGGGTTGAAAGGGTCTTGCTAAGTGACCTAGACTAGGCTGGAACTTTAGCTCCTCCTACCTCCTCTCCAGTGGCATGTATTACAGACATGTGCCACCATGCCTGGCTAGTCAAGAGAATTTTTAAATAACATTAGGAAAGGCTAGATAAGTGATAGTGTCCCATCTCAAACCTTTCCTCCTGAGATAAATAATGATTCTTTTTATTTTCTTTCCTTCTTCTTTATTTTTTTTCTTTTGTGGTTCACAGCCTTGTACATGCTAAGTCAAATGCTCTCTCCACTGAGCTACACCTGCTCCAGCTCTATACCTGTTATTACTGTTGCCAAAAGTTAGTTTTGCCTCTATTTAAATTATATATGTATTCTTTCTTATGTGTATTCCTTTGTCTCTCATCTTTCATAATTCTGTATTTCATTCCCTGGTATGACTATACCACAATTTATATATTTTTTGTTAATATATATTTGTGCTATTTCCAATTTGGGGCTGTTGTAAATAAAACTCTTAATATTTTTGTTCATGTCTTTTAGTGGTGTATGCATTCATTTCTTGGGTCAATATTTTAAGAGTAGGATCACCATGGGATGAATGTCTGTTTGACGGAAAACTACCAAACTATTTTCCAAACTGTACCAATGTGCATTCTCACCAGCACTGTTTTGGAGTTCCAATTACAGCACATTCTTGCCACTGCTTACTATTGATAGTCTTTAAATTCATCCCTTCTGGTAAATTTATAGTAGTATCATAGTGTAATTTTATATATTTTTAATTGATTTTTGTTTTCTTCTTCATACTTTTTCTAACCAATAGTTTCATTTTTAGTATATTTTCCTAAGGGTGTATAGGCTGAAATCCAGAATTAAAAAATTATGGACAGTATATACTCTTTGCAGCATAACTTAGCCAAATATGAGAAATATCCTAAGTGTATGGTATGATGGAAGTGGTTATATATAATGTAGATGTATTTATAATGTTAAGATATGTAGCCATTAAAATTATTTACACAGATTGGTCAGAATAAAATATTGTGCATACAGTTTCAAACATAGAAGATGTATATTAAAATAGAATGACTATAAATTAGCAAATATTTTTTAAACTCTATAAGAAAACACTGAGGAGTTTGTAGTATGTGATTTTCTTTTCCTCTATTTTTTTCTTTAATTTTTATTAAACCTATTGGTACATTTTAGATACACATCATGATCACATTCATCATAGGGAACTTGTACCTATGCATGATATATTTTGGTTCCTCTTTTTTCCCTCCCATTCTCTGTTACTACATTCAACTCCACTTCCCTAACTTATTTATAATGCTTTATTTCCACTTGAACTTTTTTCTCAGTTTTTCTTTTCCCTCCTCTGATTTGTCTTTCCTTTTGAACTCTGTTTTTCTCTATCTTTACATATTTTTGTGAAGATCATGTGATCATTTTAGAGTAGCATAAAATAGGGCTGGCAAGATAGTTCAGTGATCTAAGCACCTGCCTGGCAAGCACAAGGACCTGGGTTTAATCCCCAGTACTGTGCTGGCCCCAGGAACCCCAAGCGTGCCAAGCCAGCCCTGAAACTGGGTATGGTGGTACATGCCTGTAATCCCAGAGTTGGGAAGGCTGAGACAGGAGGATCACTACAAGTCTGAACTGCATAATGAGGCCCTGTATCCAATAAATAAATAAATAAATATTTAAAAAGAATAACATAAAATATACGTAAATTTCGAATATGCCAGATTTTATGTTGTATATTTCTTTCTCCCTAGCTATTCTTTCCTACATAGTGGAAATTTTCTCATTTGGATTTCTTTAAGTATTTTATTTTTCCTGTTATTTTGACTTGAAAATGTTAAGTTGTATCAAAAAGACACTTGAATTATTTCTTTTTCTGATAATCTGATGTTGCAACATCTAGTCTAGGACAGAAGATAAAATAGAACGATTCAAGAAAGCAGTTGAGTACTATTCAGTTACAACCAAACTCTCTTCATTGCCAGCGGGCCCATCCTTTGCAGGTAAGGCTGCCATCTGACTGCCCTATTCATTGGGGGAACTGAGTTGGCCCTCCAGGAATTGCAGGGCCAGAGTGTAATCAATTATTTGTGGTTGTTTTTCTTGAAGTCATTCCTATTTGCTACACATTATCCTTTTGACTTCCATGTCATTAAGAAATAGCTCTGCCTTCCCAAATTTATGAATGAGTTACAAAGCCATTTCCTTAGCTTGGGCTTCTTCTAGAGCTCACCTCTATTCTGTCCCACTGTCTGAAAAAAAAAAGTCTTGTGTTTGAGATCAGACCTGACTTTGAATGCTACCTCTGTTGCCTATCATCTGTGTGACCTTGATAAGTCACATTTGTATGAAATGTGGATCATGATACTTCCTGTATAGGATTCTTATCTGTTGAAATAATTTTTTAAACTTCCTGGCATGGCACATAATAGCTATTCAATTAATTGTAGTATTTTTCATGTGATGATGGTTTAGTAGAATGTTACATTATTCAAATATTAACATTGACTGAAGTACAATCCTTTCTCTTGACTCCAGGCTTTCGAAATAATCATCTTGGAAATCCTTCCCTTCCACAAAATCATCTTGGCACAATTTCTCCTGGAAAACCAATGGTAAGCATGATTTATGAGACCGGAGACAATTTGTTTGCATTAAATTCAGGTTGCTTCCTGATTTTTATCATCTGAATTGAGTAGGTAGGGAGATTCTGTGCTATCAGACTGACTGTATATTCATACATTACATTCTACATTGATTCAGATAACCTATGTAAATAAAAATAGCATCCACATTAGAAACTATTTGGGCATTATGAAATCCAATTAGCCACTGTCAGAGAATGGTTCTAGGAATCCTGGATTGGTTCAGTGTCCTGCTCATAGTTGATTCTGTTCATATCACTTAGAATTATTTCTGCTTATTCTTAGTAGGTACTTTTTATCTCGAGTCCCTGCTATTGGCAGCATGTGTGTATCTTAGAATCTGAGGGACCCATCTTGGATCCTGATAAAATGTTAAGTAGCTTTTCTGTCTGCTTTGTCCTTTAGTTTCCTCACCATGTGCCCCAGAAAATGAAGTGTCCACCACCATTCTCAGTGGGATCCAACTCATCTCTCCTCTTTGCTTCCCATGCTCTGGGGGAATCCAATGCCTTTTCTGAGGATCCCACATTAGAAGACAGCCCCTTTGCCAGTTGGGCTGTCTCTTATGACACCTCTTCACCCCAGTTCCCTAATTACCTTACTTCCAAAACTTCACCTCCTTTGCGACCAGACTCTTCCCATTCTTCTTCCTCTGATGGTGATGAGCCAAATGGAGCCAGCTCTGAGTAAGTATTTGTATAAACATCATGGGAAAAGACTTCAGAAGAAATATTGGAAGTGTATATTTTTGCTTTCCTTTTCCTAGTCTTTGCTCTTTGGCCCATGCAGGTGGTGATATTCAGATACCCAGGGCATTGTAGTAAAAGGCAGCGTAGCTGTTGGTTAGAGAAACTATGGTATGGATGTGCTATGTAACATGAGTATAATTTTGCAATAATTGAATAAAAAGCAAAAGGAACAGCTAAATAGGTAGCTGTATTGCTTAGTAACTAAGACAGGAGTCTTACCATATACATTATGCCTCTAATTCCTGGGAAGCAGTGCAAATTATTTTATAAATAAGCAGCATGCAAACATGGCTTCTTAAAAATGAATAGAATTTGGAATTATTGCTGTGACTTTTGATTACTTTGGTTTATATCAGGTGAAAGAATCCAGGAAGATAGTAATAACCACTGAGAGGAAAATTATCAGGTCTAGAGCTAACCAAATATCCTGACCCTCAGAGAGGTTTCTGTTGTTCAGCAGGTTGAGAATGGCATAATAAGTGGAATACCTTTTATCAACCTCCCTTTTCTGTTCTATGTCATTTTGCTAAACTTTTTAGTCACATCACAGAAACAATTCAGCAGCAACCTGGATGGCAAGATTCCAATGGTGACAGAGGGTCTTGGGCACAACCTGTTGATGCTGGAGTTTCAGAAGCCAGCCTAGGTGATGTTGAGCCTCACATCCCATCTCTACTGTCTATGTCTACAAGGAACCACATGGACATCACTATTCCACCCTTACCTCCAGTAGCTCCAGAAGTCTTACGGGTTGCTGAACATAGGCATAGAAGGGGCCTTATGTATCCATATATCTACCATGTCCTCACTAAGGTGAGACAGCACATTAGCATTTACCTCCTTGCTCTTTATACTCACTGAGACTCTAAGTTGTCAAGTAAAAGTGTGATAGTTGATATCTAGAAGATAAAAGACCATGCGTGCTGGAGGCCCTCATTGTATTAAGGGCCTCAAGTGAGATGGGACCATATCATAAATAGATCCTTATAAGAGAATTATAATTACATTTGAAATGGATAATGCACCAAGTTGGTGGGCTCTGATTCTAGGGATAAACATATTCTAAGAAGAGCCTTTGTGCACTTGTTGCTTATCTCTTCCTCTACTTCTACACAATTGATCTTCTCTGGGCCTATCATGATGCCTAAGATAAGCTCTCCCCTTTGTCAGCTATAAGTTGATAATAACTGAGATACTTAATGTGGAATTATAGTTTAACAAGTTAATTGTGGTCAGCTTGGCTTCATACAGCTTCTTTTTAATCTGAAATGGCTGAAACTAATAGAAAATTTTGTAGTTAAGCTGTGTAATTCATTACTGGTTCTTCTAAGCTCAATTCCAGACTTTGACAAAACTCCTTTTCTCCTTTCCCTTGGATCATTCTCTTATTAGGGTGAGATTAAGATCCCAGTATGTATTGAGGATGAATGTAACATGGAGCTGCCCCCAGCCACTCTTCTGTTCCGATCAGCTCGTCAATATGTATATGGAGTCCTTTTTAGTTTGGCTGAGACACAGCGGAAAATGGAACGCTTGGCCGTTCGGCGGCGGCTACCTGTAGAAGGTAAGTGTTGTTCTAGCTTTGACAGTTTTCTTATTTTTTTCACATCAGAAAACATCTGTGCAACCACACCATGCTTTTGGCTATGGATCAGTCTTTAAGGAAATACATCATTCACCAGAATGACTACTACTGATAAGAACTTGCTGAGCTTTCTGAATATAAAAGTGCGTATCCCATAATTTTCCCCCTTATCCTTTTGTTTTGAGATTCAATCTTGCAGTTGATTGAAACCATTGGGATTTTTAAACTACAGAATGACGTGATCAAGTTAGGGTGTTCAACAGAACACTTTAGATTTCTGATTCTAAGAAAAGGGAGTAGATTGGGTGTACTTTGTCTATTCCTCTTATTAATTACAACTAAATTCAAGTATATTATATGTATAAAACAAGCACAAGGTACTCTTTATTTGAGGAGAGAAGGCATACTGGCTTATGAGTTTGGGACCCAAGAAATGATGCAGTGATACATTAGTGAATGCCCTAGGATTTTTTTATATGTCCTAGACTGGGTACATAACAAGGTGGCAGGAAGTCCTGACATGTCAACAGACCACTTGTACAAACACACACACACACACACACACACACACACACACACACACGCATGCATACATACACACACGCATATACAACTTATTTAATTTTTCTGGCTGAAGAACTAAAAGGAGAAACCTAGTGAAACAGAAAAGTTTTCGGTAATAACTATAGTAGTGAAACCAAACACCATGGAAAAACTGATCTGTCCCCACCATCAAAGGCCTTATAAAAGATCTGTTCTCACAGGCTATAATGAGGTATTCAGCTGCTCCTGCTGGGGAGGTATTCAATGAAGGCTAATTAAAAGCCAAGACTTCTGTTCCCACTTAGCAGTAATGAGGTAGTATCCTCTTTTATCTACCAGAGTGGTCAGAAAATGCCTGCTAAAACACATGATTTAAATACTATCTACAGCCTTTTAAAATACTCAAAATGTTAGGCTTTAATTGAAAATTCCTTGTTATATCAAGAACTAGGGCGGTTTTAAATTGAGATTTTATGAGCCAGGCATCATGAAGCACACCTGTAAAACCAGCACTCAGGAGGCTGAGGCAGGAGGATCTCTTCGAGTTCAAGGTCAGCCTGGGCTACATAGCAAGACCTTGACTCCAAAAAATAACGACAATATAAAGCACATCTTACACTGAGAAGAAATTAACAAGCTAACAAAAGTTTGAATTACTGGATAAAGATTTTGGAGGAGCTGTCATTAAAATGTTCTAATGATTGCAAGCGTGCTTGAAACAAAGGTGAAAATTCTAAAGAAAGAAAAAAGAAGGCTGGGGAGATTGGCAGTCAGAGTGCCTGCTTGGCAAGCTCAAGGACCCAGGTTTAATCCCTGGTACCACATGCCATACCAGCCTCAGAACCCCAGGTGTGCTGTAACAGCCACTGAAACTGGCAGTGATGGTGCATGCCTATAATCCTAGCTCTGGGGAGACTGAGACAGGAGGATCACTATGAGTCTGAGCTGCGTAGTGAGACTCTGTAATAAAATAATAAAAGATTTTTTAAGAAGAAGAAAAGATTAAAGAATGAAATAGAAATTGGGAAAAATACATTAACCAAAACAAAACACTGGACACAGGATGAGTTAAATGACAGAGTGGAACAAGAAGGTAGAATTAATATGCCTATAAACAAAGCAATAGAAATTACAGTCCGAATCACAGAAAAGAAAGACTTAAAAATGTGAACAAGAACTGATAGAATTATAACAAAAGATCTAATATCTGTATTATCAAGCTTTCAGGATATGAGAAAGAATAAAACTACAGAAATATTCAAAGAAATAATGTGTGGAATAGCCTCAAATTTAGACCTACAGATTCCAGAAACTTAATAATAACTCCTACAGAATCTTTATAAAGATAGGTCATGATCACACTTTCCATGGTTAATGAAGTTTACTGAAAGGAGCCAGACACAGATGATAGGGGAAGTACTTATGGGAAAAAAGAATTAATAAGCAAGAGGATCATACAGTGAAGGAGAGCTACATTTCACAAGCAGACTTACCCTAATAGAACAGCAAAAGGTGGCAAACTTTTGTTATTTTTTAAAGCAAGGTATTTCTATGTGACTCGGCTGTTCTCATACTCCATGGACAAATAACTCTTCGTCAAATAAGAGTAGTTGAGACTCTTGGCATGCACCACCCAGCCCAGCTAATGTAGGCTTTTATACAGAAAGAAAATAATAATTTTAGCCAGGATAATGGTGCATACCTGTAATCTCAGTGCTCAGCAAGTTCAAGTAGGAAGATTGTGAGTTTGAGGCTAGCTGGGGATATGTAGCAAATTCAAAGCCATCTTGGATTACATAGTGAAACCCTGTCTCAAAAAACCAAAATCCAAATAGAGGGATGGCCAAATCGCTCAGTGGCTTAAAGTTCCTGCAAGCAGGCACAGAGGCTGGGAGTTTGCTGAGACTGCAATTGAGACTGGTCATGGTGGCACACACCTGTAATCCCAGCTCTTTGGAGGATGTAAACAGGTGGATCACTACAAGTCTGATCTAGCAGTGAGACCCTGTACACCCTTCCCTAAAATACAAAGAAAAATAGGTAAAAGAAGAAACTTGGAACATCAAGGACAAGGCAAAAAGCAGGGGTGGGGGGACATGGACAAGCATATAGGTAAATAGGCTTTCCATCTTTTGAAATTCTAAATTTTGTTTTATAGTGAAGCAAATATTGTAACATTGCTTATCATGGTTCTTCATATACTGAGAGAAAACTGTTGGTTTTTCTTTTTTTAATTTTACTGAGAAAAATAGTTATGAGACAGTTTCAAAACATTTTACTAGGACAGTTACAATAATTAATATATTGCATATTGTTGTCTTCATAGTAGTTATTCATAGTAAAAGATACAGAAATGATACCCTCTCCAAGCATTATTAGTACAAATCTTTCCTCTCATTGAATGAAGAGAAAGGTGTATATCTATCCTATTTTGTATATGCAAATACAAAATGGTCCTTCATTTATATCAACTTATTTTTAGTGTTGTCAGAGGTGGGTATTCCAGAGGATTACAGAAAATGGAAAGATATTCCCTACTTCTTGATAGGAAGAACCAACATTATGAAGATGGCCATACTCCCAAATTGTTGTCCAGAATTAATGTTTTAGTTTTTCTTTTTTTTGCAGCTTTTGTATTTGCATTTATTCTTTTTTTTCAAATTTTATTTAACATTTTATTTTTTATATAATTTTATTGATAAACAAATAGCAGTGAGACAGTTTCAAATCAAATCGCTAGGACAGTTTCAATAATTAACATATTCCCTACTTCTTGATAGGAAGAACCAACATTATGAAGATGGCCATACTCCCAAATTGTTGTCCAGAATTAATGTTTTAGTTTTTCTTTTTT